GCCGGCACTTGCCGCCTCCGGCAGCGATGCTCCCTGCGAGTCCATAGCTCGCTTCCCACTCCTGCGCATCCATCCCGGTGCCAGGGAGACCTGGCAGCGCACTCAGGGTTCCAGCACCCATAGGAGCTGGTTCTCCATGAGCCATCAGCAAAGCCACGGAGCGGGGAGCACGGAGAGGAGGGGACACAAGGCCCTGAGCACCCCCAGGAGCAGAGCAGGGGGCTGAGAACGTGCCAAACTCATCACACGGGACACCCAAGCATGACTCTCCTGCCCACCCAGCTTGCCAAAACCCCCAAACGGAGGTCCCAAAACTGCCCCTGCATCCGGGCGCTCCCACGCTCGCTCCCGCGGGGCCGCGCGCTCCCTCCTCCTCCGCGCGGCGCGGGGCCAACCCTGCCCCCGGCAAGGTAACGCTGCAAAATGCAAAATTCACACAAAGGACCGCGATTTGCTGGGAAACAATTTTCAAACGCATAAAAAACAACGCAGGGACAAAAACCCACCCCCCTTCCCTCTCTCTTTTGTATTTGAAAAAAATTATTTATTTTAATGATTGTTATTAAAGCTCAAGCAAAGACGATCGCAACAGAAGGGCCTGGGCTTATCAAGGGAATAATAATAATAATTATATTTTTTGAAAAGAAATGAAAAAGCGCTGGAATGGGAAGGGGGAGGCGGTGACACCCGCTGTGCCCAGGAGCCACCGAGCCACGCTGTGCCGAGCTATGCAAGGCCACGAAATGCCCCGCAATGTCATGCAATGCTATGCCATGTCTGCAATGCTGCACAGAGCCTCGCAATGCCAGGCAGTGCCACGCAATGCCCCACAATGTCATGCAATGCCACACAGTCCCCCTCAACGCCACGCAATGCCATGCAATGCTACACATTGCCCCACAATATCATGCAATGCCACGCAATGCCCTGCAATGCTGCGCAGTGCCTCGTAATGCCAGGCAGTGCCACACAATGTCATGCAATGCCACACAGTCCCCCGCAACGCCACGCAATGCCACACATTGCCACACAACGCTCTGCAAGGCCATGCAATGCTGCAATGTGAAGCAATGTGATGCAGCTGCAGCACCCCGAGCACAGAGCCTGGTTTGGGGACCTGCAGAGGGGCATGGGGTGGCAGATGGCAGCGGCCGGGTGGCTCTGGACAGGTTGGGGACAGGAAGAGGCAGTAATTGGCCCCTAGGGACGCAGTGATGCCACC